TGATCGCGAACCTTCTCCAAGGTTCAGCCCTCTTCCAGGCAACACCCTTCTTCCAGGGCCCCTCTTCCAGGTTTTAAGTCTTTTAATGTGCCATTCTCTAATTATTAGGTTGACCTAGCCAACCTAATCTTCCCACATGGGGGTATGCCGGTGAGAACCAGCCCTCATCCAATCTTGCACGTCCATATATTATGTGTTCGGAAATTCTAGTCTTCCCTAGACATTCCGATCCACAAAGGATGGCTCATACAAGACGGTAATATTTTTTTGGCATCTTTTCTAACCCTTCCCGACCAAAAAGTCGGTAGGGATCCATGTAAGTATGGATGCGAATCCTCTTCCGGATCCAGCCTGTCTCAAGGCGATACCTCAACATCAAGGCCCCTATCTCAAGGGTTTCTTTTTTTCTCTTTTTTTTGCTATTAGCCCATGCAACGGTCCAGGTCCTAGACATCAAGACTGATCTGTCTACAGCAAGCTTAGTAATCTTGACCACATCTTATCCACCCTCTCTTCTTTCCATGATCATATTCATGTGGGTGGATTCAAGTACTCGCCTATGGGTCTTCCTCAAGCCCCGTAACGAATACTTCATCCAATTCCCCTTTCAAGGTCATCTCCTTGAGCACAGCCTTGACATTTCGGCAGTCTGCCGTGTTGTGGGAGTCAGATTTGTGATAGGTACACCACTTCTCTGCCCAAGGCCGCTTGGGTTATTCTCCCTTCTTCTCATTCCTAATTTGGTGGGCCGTCCCATCATATGTGGTCCTTGGCCAGGACCCTCCCATATGGTCGTCCTTCTTTGGCTTCTCGGTCTTGACCTTCATATAACCTTCTTCCAGTTCTCGTTTTCTCTTGTTTAGGACTTCCGCCTCCGCGTACTCCCATGCCGTATTGTAGGCTTCCTGATAAGAGGAGGGTGGCCTTCTACAAAATTCAGTGTAGAGGTCACCCGACCGAAAGGCATTCATCAGCAAAGACATGGCCGTCTTGTCGTCCATATCTTCTACTTTGTCGATCTCGTCCCTCCAGCGAGTTAAGAACTGAGTCAAGGACTCCTTCTCCCTCTGCCCTACCGTGTTAAGGTAGGTGAACTTCTTCCTTTTGACGCAGTTCTCCTCGTACTTCTTGCGAAAAATCTCAGCAAGTTTTTCAAAGGACCCGATCTTACCATGTGGAAGGCTGTTAAATCATTCCACTGGCCTCCCTCTCAAGGATGAGAAGAAGAGTAGGCATTCTTCAGCATTAGTACACCCGGCCATTTGCGCTGCATTATGGAAGGTGTCAAGGTGGACATTTGGATCCTCCTTTCCAGTGAATTTCTCCACGTCCAGCTTGACCTTCCGCCTCAAGTTTTGTGCATGTACCCTGGCTGAAAAGGGTGATTTGGCCAGGGTGTGCTTCTTCGCTCCCGCCTTCTCTTCTACCCTTTCCTCCAGGGCACGTAGCTTTCTCGCTATGCTTCCCATCTTGTCCAGGTCATCCTCATCGTATGAGAGCCTGGTATATGTCGATGCTCTGGGCTGGCTTTCAGCTTCCTCCTCATCTAGGTGAATCGTCTTATATTCCCTAGAACGACGAGATTGGGCGTGACGACTCCCGCCAAGTCTTTCCATTGCGCTAGTCCGGCCCATCTCAGGACCAAAACGTAGCTTGGAAGACTTGCAGGGTCCATCCTCTTTGTCCCCCAGGCGTTTGAACGCCGAATCTCGAGTCTTGCTCGGTTTGGCTATAGCCTTACCCTTCCTCCTGCGGGCTGCCTCCTGTTCCACCTCGTCAACTTCATGGACATTTGAGGGCGCTACCTCATTCATGGTCCCCGTCAGATTCACCGGATGTATAGGAACCATTCTATGAACGAATGTCGACGGGGTCAAAACCGGGGGTGCCATAGGACTCATGATCGGTGGCATCATCCCGGGATAGGAAAATGGCATGAAGCCCCCTGCCTGTTGCATCATGGCCATCACCTGTTGATAGCCCTGCAGAGCTTGAGCGTTTGCTGGGTCAGCGGCAAATTGAGCCAAGCTTGAGGGATATGGCGTGAATGCCCCCCAGGCGTTGTTATTGAGTCTGGGAACATTGTTGTCGTTGGCGTAGGAGTAGGGGTTGACATGATTGGGATCATGCCACTTGATCCTACCGTGGTGATTGGGGCAAAGGTCGTCCCCATACTCGTTATCATCAGTGGGATGGCAGGAGTGCTTTCACTCGCAGCTTGGCTAGACACAGTGTTGTGGTTGCTTGAAGACATGATTGTGGATATTTAGTGGGGGTAAAGTTTTGACCTGGTCAAAAAAACTTTAAAAATCGGTCCCACGGGTGGCGCCAAAAATGATGGTGTAAATATAGCTGGGCGGGTTAACCGGGTTTAACCTGGACACTCGACCCGTAATATAAAACACACAACAAGAACACAAAGTATGACCTAGACCGGGTAAATCTCCTCAGTCCGAAATATATTTCTTACTCTGTCTCAAGAGTGTACTAGTTTTTAGTGAGAGAAAAGAATTGGATCCCCTCCTCTATCAAATATCATCATATTTATAGAGGAGGATTTGTGACCCTCCCCTGTTCATCCATGGACAAAATAGGAAGCTCGTGGGAAGGTCACTGTAGATAATGGAAGCACTGTACAATCATAGAATTTAGCAACTATAAGCCAAGACATGTACTGTTCAATCAAAGACTATAGATGGATATTCTCAATCC